AAACAGTATCTTTTTAATTTCCATAAACAATATTTTTCTGAAATAGGAAGGCTGATCTCAACCAACAAGAGATGATCTCAACGCACTAAGAAGTAGTATTATCACGTCTGGGCTGACGCTTCAGCGGCTCGGGATGTAAACACCACCGCCTTTAAAAAGAAGTATAATTCCGCCTTCAGGTCCTTCAAAAGAGTCATTAAAAGGGCAAAGTCAGAGCACATAGGCAGTATTGGCGAGAAACTAGTTCAGCTTCCTTTTGGAACACGTGCATTCTGATCTCTCGTCAAAGTTCTTCCGTCTTTGTACAGGGAGGACGACTCACTGGCCCATGATGCAAAGGAGAAAGCCCATCTGCTAGGGTCTCTCTTTGCGTCCAACTCGACCTTCGATGATGGTGGAATAGAGCGATGACCATCCCTCGATGTGCGTGCTCCATGCCAAATGTGCTGTTCACACAGCGCTCGATTCACAAAGCACTCATCTACCTGAACGTCAACAAGTCGAGTAGGCCTGACGGAATCCCCTAAATTGTGCTGAGGACGTGTGGTCAAGAGTTGGTTCCGGTTCTAAGGCGTCTTTTCCGGTACTTCTATATCTTAGGTGTAGTCCCAAATTCATGGAAGACCGGTTTAGTGCACCCGGTACCTATAAAAGTTAACCGCTCTTATCCGTCCAATTACAGGCCTACCGCGATCACCTTATTTTCGAAAATGATGGAGTCGTTCATTAACTGGCTGCTCAGGTGGTATCTTGAGGAGCACCAGCTGATTAGTGACCGCCAGTACAGTTTTCGTCGGGGTCGCACAGCTGGTGCTCTTGTTTACCTGACACACCGATGGGCGCAGGCGATTGAGTCCAAGGCGGAGGCTTTGGCGGTTAGTTTGGACATAGCGAAGGCCTTCGATAGCGTTTGGCACGAAGGGCTTCTTTCGAGGCATTCCCGAGAAATTGCTCAATTGGATCACTAACTTTCTTGCAGATCAGAGTATCAAGGTCGTAGTAGACGGTGCATGCTCCGATTACAAACCTATTAATACTGGTGTTCTACAAGGCTTCGTGCTATCACCAACGCCGTTTCTTCTGCAATTGGTAACAACCGGTAATATTTATTGCCATGCGGGTGACAAACTGGTGATGCTCTATACATCAATATTTCTCGGGAAAACTTCACCAAGTACCGGAATAAACTTGTGTCTGAAATGGAATCTTTGCTGAACAAAGTCTTGGATTGGGGGCGACTATATTTAGTCTAGTTTAATCTTCAGAAGACACAAAGCAAGTTTACCGCTAAAAAGAACTCCTTTGTCATATCCACGGAGCAAATACAAAGAGGAGGTGTTGTAATTAGATTTCACTATGTAACAACGCGTGACAATATGCGGGGTGAGAAGGTGTTAAGCCCCGCCCACTTAAGTATTTTCCATCTACCAATAAAAAGTTAAACGACTCGCATCGTTACATATCGATGTTGCAATGTAGTTTAGCTACCTTACGTTTGGTGTAGGGTGTAAGGGGATGGTACCAGGGAGTAATTTTTTCAAGATTAATTTGTGTTTTTTTTACAGGAGAGGTGTCAAACGAGTCAAAAATCTCTGGTGGTAGTCGATTCCACAAGGAAGTTGTGCGAGGAAGAAAACTTCTTTTAAATCGCACGGTGGTGGACCGCCAGTCATTCAGATGGTATGAATGGTATCGCAAATTTTATCGCGATGTGCGATGGTGAAATTCTGCGGCTGGAATTAGTCCGAACAATTCCTCAGAGAACTCCCCGTGGTAGATGCGATAAAATACGCAACTTTTTTTCTTCATTCAAACTTCATTGAACATGTTCACAGACTGCAGACTTCCCGGAGCGTCGGTGCTTCACGTCAGCTATATGTTCTTTCAACGCGGGTTTTTATGGATCTTTATGTTTGACCTATGTAAAAAGATCCATAAAAACCCGCGTGAAAGAACATATAGCTGACGTGAAGCACCGACGCTCCGGGAAGTCTGCAGTCTGTGAACATGTTCAAGATCGTCCCCACCATTACATCAGATTTGATAAACCACAAATCCTCGCAAAAGAACACCGATTCCTACCAAGGATGATACGCGAGGCTATTGAAATTAAAAAAACATCCTAATTTCAATAGAGAAGATGGTTGGGTGCTGCCATCTGCTTGGGATCCTATAATTAACAAAATTAAACCTAAACCCAAGCATACCACTGCAAGACTTCAAGATACTGTAAGTTCGTTTTGCGTAAATCGGACCAAAAATTAATATTCAAAAACTGAAGGTAGCCGGGCTAACAATGACATTGGGACGTCAAACATCTCAGTCCCCCCGTGACCATGGTTGCTGTAAAGCACCCAAAACGTCGGGAATTAAAAATAAGTAAAATCAGTTAAATAAACGCGATAGAATCCGTAAATTTAGTTTTATTCAATGTGTAGTGTTCGCGTAAATTTAAGAAATCATTTTGTGTTTTACTAGTTGTTGGCAATAAAGATCTGAATCAATCTTTTGGCTCAGCTGTAAAAGCTCGTAGTAAACGATGTCCTTCTAATCCCACCATACACACAGCATCACCATATTGCGTGTTAATCCGGGTTTCGCTATAACTTGGGGACTTGACTAACTTTTGACCATGATCTTTTTCGCACTATCTTGTCGTAGGTGATCCACTCTTATTACCAGTAATTAAACTTTGCAAAAATGGTTCAGTTTTATTACGTTTCAATAGACAATCACTAATGAGTACACGATTTCTTGGGTTTCTTTCAGTGAGCTCGTGTGTTACCTGAACATCGAGCGTTTTTGTGTGTAGCAGCCTGACTTTTTCAAATGGCTCAAAACTGTTTTTTGGTCAATCTGCAATTCTTCGGCTATGTCGTAATTACTAATATGCCGATCTTGCTCCAATTTTTCTAAAATGGCATCGACTTTAATCGTATGAAGGCGACCAGAGCGAGCTGCATCTTTGATATCAAAGTTGCCGGACTGAAAACGCTTGAACCAACTTTGTGCTACACTTACTGACACTGCATTAGGTCCATAAACGTCACAAAATTTTTTGGCGGCTTGAGTCGCATTTTACCCTTTTTTGTACCTAACGTACTCGTAAATAAACTTCAGAATGTATCGAATTTCTTCGTTAGATTCACTCATTTTGGCAGTCAGAAAAACAATTGATAAATGGCGGGAAAGTGTTCTTTACTCTTTATTTTTCTCTTTCTTAGTATTCTATATGTATTAATATTAAAACCAGCCAGATATAAAAAGTAAAATAAGAAGAGATTTTTCTTCAATTTTATACAAATAAAATACAAATTAACTTTATCCCCGACCTTTATTAAATCATTCATAGCTGAAGAATATTTCAGTGTTTTCTAATGTATGTACCTCTATAGGCAATAATGACAAGTCTGATAGTATTTCCTGTCTCATAGAGGTACTTAGATAAATTTTTTCTGTTTTTATTTAAAAAAAAACTTCTTTCAACTGTTTTAGTTGTAACCGGAAAGGTATAAAATACGCTGTTATTACCTCGGGAAAACTAGATGATATGCTATTGAATTTTATCAGCAATAATGATATGAGTTCCTTAATGGCAGGTCTTCTTTGGGCACAATTTAATGATATGATTTGTTTCTCGTGAAGTACGGCCTAAGAGTTTAATTGAGATTGTGGATAACATTTTACGAGTTTTTGCTAACACACGTTGGCCCCTGTAGCCCGGGGGCTCTGTATCATTGATACGGCTGATACGGCGGTAGCTACGCCCCTGATCTCTTCGCAGTGCCAGTGAGTCAATCCGATCGGAAAGGGCTCGGTCGCCGACGAGTCTGGGGTCTACCATGTTGATGGGAGGGATGGATCGGGCCTCCAGCCACCTGCACTCGCTAGACGAAACGCACTCTACTTCATGCTGTCTTCTGTAAATAAATTAAAATCTAACTATTTTATTTCAAATTAGGCATCCGACTGCACTTTTTGAATGCCAATATATAAACAAAAAATAGACGCGCTCACGGTGACTAAACGCGATTTCGTTCGAAAACTCATCTTGTTACTGTCACTCGCACTTAATTACAGTAAGTTTAAGGACAGTACTTCATGCCGGAAGAATTACTGCAAAAAGTTGCAAGTGGTGTCCCGCTTGGTTTGATTGGCTGTTTAGAATCTGAGACTTGTAAAGACAAGGCACGGGTCCTTACAGGCCTAAGCGCTCCTTCCACTTGACCGCACAGATTGGCTCGAATCATCGGCGACTGAGTCCTCTTCGATCGGCTCGATCCACTGGCACTGCGAGTAGATGTTGCATCCCTTTGTATCAACCAGGGGGATATTCTGAGGAATTGTTCGGATTAATTCCAACCGCCAAATTTCGCGTCGCGTCAAACTATCTAAATATAAACTGGCGGACACTACTTTACGTTTTACTAGATGTTTTCTTCCTAGTACGACCCCTCTGTGGAATCGTTTACCACCGACGATCTTTCTGGACCGATACGACTCAGGGAACTTCAAGAAAAGAGCTTACTCCTATCTAAAAGGCCGGCAACGAACTTGCAAAACCCCTGGTATTGCGTTGTTGTCGGCGGTAGTCATTTACCACAAGGTGAGCCTGATTTCAACATTGTAATTGGTCTGTAGGTAAATGACAGCAATCAACTCTAGAAAACCATAGTCAGTAAATAGACTAAAGCCAGAAAACGGAAAATGTCAATCACAGAGTACTTTTTGTCAATTTGTTAACATAAAGTGGCAACCTCCGATAGGAGCATAGGATAGGATTAGTGGCTTAAAGGTCTAGATACCAGGCCATAAACTCCAAAAAAAAAATAGGATAGGATTAGGAGTTATAGTTCTTCTCCAAGAAATCGTTCTGTGGTGACAACAGAGTTGTGTGGACATAAATTTCAATACAAATATTTCATCGATATTTATAAACATGTGTTTAGAACATAAATTGTGATGATGTGACGGACGTGGAATATTAGATTAAGCAAAATATGGTTTTATCTTATCATAATGGTGTTTGTTTGGAGGAGAAAGTGTCGTGTGAAATCAGAGAGTGGCCTTCAATGATGTGGAAGAAGTGGATTGTGCAAGCAACAGCGGCAGTACTTACGGCACGAAGTCCATATCTGGTCCGTGCAGCTGCCTTCGTGTTAGTCATCACTATTTTTACTGTGAGTCTTGTTATTTGATAGTTGCAATAAATCATCGGCCAGATGTTCTAAATTCTTATAGGTACTTCAGGTGCTTTATAAAACAGTCTTCAATTTTATCATTTTGCCTAGAACTAATTAACCAGTTAACAAATTATAAAACCAGTTAATTAACTGTACACAAATGGGCACATTTTTTTCGTTTAAATATAGTTTTTTTTAAATGTTTCTGTCTGACACAATCAGTTAGGGCTCCTTTATAACAAATTGTTTCTCGTAAATATATATAGGTAATAACTTGTTAGGATGTTGTAAAAAAGACCTTTAGACCTCTTTTCAAGCTGATTAAAATTTTTCACTCACTAAAAGTTTTTCTGAAGTGAAAACTTCTTTGAAATTGTTGTAATTTGAAACTTGATGAAATGAGAAAGCACACTTTAAAGAGACAAACATACATCTATAGGATTTAGCCTGCAACAGTATACAGTGTTTCCTTTTATCTCGGTCTCCTTTTCTGAAGGTTTCACTTGAGCCGCGTGTGAACTGCATACATGTTTATTTTTTTTGTTGTTTTTTGGTTCTTAAATCTAGCTAGAGAGACTATTAACAAAGTTTAAAATCATAGTGTAATCTTTGAGCAAAGACCACCTTGAATTTAAACTATTAATTTTTGTGATGGTGCAATAACACAGTGCACCTGTAAACATGTTATGCCACTGACATTTTTGTTTAATTATTTTGGTACTCACTGCTTTATAGATACTAAATTGACCAAGATAGATCAACATTATTTACCACTGACCTTAATCTATTGCTGCTAAACTGTACTTTGACATGGTTCAATTTCCACTATAGCCTTAATTGTAGATTGTCCGTTTAATGATGAAATTTCCAAAATGAAAGCTCAAAAGCATCTATTCAAAATCTGGTTTGATATTACTTAGAATCTATAGGTTAAATATTTTAAATTAATCTTCATGCAAATGCAATTTAGGCCAAAATAATCCCCTTGGTAAAATGTTAAAAGAATTGAATTCAGTTTATAACACACACACACACACACACTCATATATATATATATATACACATACCATAACTTATTGTACGTCTGCTATGGTCAATTTTGCATATATTGTGGCGTCAACCTGCTTACGACGTCCAATATACGGACGTCAAATAAGAGACTTAGCGCAATGTTCGCAAAAGGTCATGCTGATCACAGAAATGTCAAAAACTATAAAAAAAAATTGGACGTCATTTTTCTTCCAATATTTCTGTACTGAATATTTACGTAGTTCCGCTAATTTTCGTTGAAAAAATAATAGCGCTGCTGTTTTTGCTTGTATTTGTGAATACTTTCATTTATGGCCATATTTGACTTCCGCACAAAATTAGGAGATGCGTCATTGCCGTTCCGTCACTGTTGCCAACGTATTACTTGTATTTGGTGATGAACCATATGGTTATGACTACCTTGTTGGTATAGTGGTTGTAGATGTGCGACTGCTGATCGTGAGGTCCTAGGTTTGAATCCCGGGTCGGGCCAAAAAATCAATTATTGAGTTTTTCTGTCAAGAAATTCTCAATAGCTACCCGGAGTCGGAAGTTGGCGGTGTATCACCCCCGTGCCTAGGAAAGCACGTAAAGCCGATGGCCCTGCGCCTGATCTCTCTCCGGTCGTGTCACTTTACCGTCCAATCGGATTATGAGAATGAGGAAATGGAGAGTGCACCTGTGGTTGCGCATACACTTGGGCACTATAATCCTGTCCTGCGCCGATGGCTAGTCTCCGTTGAGGCAGGCCGCCGTGACCGTAATTCGGTCTGCAGGACATTATTATATGGTTTATACTGCGCTTGGTACTATAATTTTACTTTTAAACTTGTTTTCTTAACCTTACATTTACCTACACATAATATGGACGTCCGAATATTCTAAAACTTTCATACTGAATGATATTTGACACCCGTATTTTTGAATTTAGTTATATTTTTATAAATGTAGATGCGGGCGCCGGCTTATCGGTTTATTTCATGCTGCACTATATTTTAACATTTTACATTTGGTACTAATCTGTCTAAAAGAACTCTTGTTAGGTATTTCATGCAAACCATCATTCTGTTTGAGTATAAGTTACCTTCTGATTGAGTACAGGAAGATGGAATCAATTGTAGATATTGACAGGTTTCATAGAAGTTTGTTTTATTATATTGTGACTAATAACCTAATATGGTCTGGCGAGGAAACTCATTTGAATATAAGGTTTTACTGTATTAGGTTGTTAATTTCTACAATAGACCGTAGCATATTATTGCTGACATAACTCCAAAAATATAATTTATTTACTTGATTGTGTTGAGTTTTGGTGCTCTAACTGCATCTTAAGGATGAGTGCGACTATTGTACCTAATACATACGAAATTACTCTCTACTTAACTACATTCATATTTGTAAGGATATATGTTAAATATACGATATGTTTGGTTTTGCAGTTAGTTGATATACAATTTCATTTTTCGCACACGTTTTCTAAGCTTCTAAGCGTCTTATCATTTCTAGAATGAAACATTTTATAAAACACCAAAGTGACTATTTTACACCGCATGGCCTCCCTACACTAAAATAAGAATAAAACAATAGCGAAATATGTCATTAAAGCAATGATCATTAATGTGTGTCTTACACACAAGGAATTAAAATATAAATAAGTAAATATTTGACGTCCATATAACCATGAATATATCATGGTTATATGGACGTCAAATATCGTGTGGTATGAAATTTTACCGATAATCTGACGTCCACATATAGAAATATAACAAAATTCAAAAATATGGACATCAAATATCATTCAGTATGAATGTTTTAGGATATTCAGAGGTCCATATTATTATGTGTACATAGGTAGTAATTTAAAGTTAAAATTTTGGCGCACACAGTGCAAAATCAAACTGCAAAACCAAACATAATATCATAATTTAACAAAAATAGCCTATCACAAAAATGAATCTAGTTAAGTAGAGAGTAATTTTGTATAGATTAGGTAAATATTTCGCACTCATCCTTAAGATAGTGATCATAAAAAAGTAAACTCGCAGTGAGAGAAATAAACTCAATATGATCAAGTAAATAAATTATATTTTCGGAGTTATTCATGCCAGCAACAATACGCCACGGTCTATTGTAGAAATTAACAACCCATTGGCAGTCAATGCAGTAAAACCTTATATTAAAATGAGTTTCTTCCCAAGATCATATTAGGTTATACACACGTCACAATATAAGAAAATGAACACCTGTCAATATCTACTATTAGTACTTATTTACAATAGTAAAATAAATAATGAGATAAGTGAAAACGAGAGGAGGAAGTGAGAGATACAAGTGTCGTGCCTTTTTTGCTTAAAATTTATTGTTTTATTAAGTATTGTTGATTTACTATGGTAAATTTTTCTGTCTTGGTGGAGGTTTTAACATCTGTAAATTAGTTGTTGTAGTATATATAATGGAGGACGAACCTCCCGATCCCGGAAGGGTTTGCATTGATTTCTTTTCCTTACCCATTAATATTGATAATATAGAACTAATTAACCGTAAACATGCCGATCATCCCCTCGCTGCTTTGTATGTGCACAGAATCATGAAGGTTTATCGTGTGTGTACTTGACAAACTCCTACTTGTCTATTCTGCTCAGGTCCCAACACTGCAAAAGACCCTGCTTGTCCTGAACATCTAAGGCAAAAATTTATTAAACTTGTTATGTCACAAGAAAATATTTCATATTTAGAAGCTTCAGCTAGATTCCCTCAAACAAAAAGATCCTTTGCTGATATAACAAGAATCCAGCCTTGTAATTGTTCTCAACAGACCCCTTATACCATAACTGACAGTCTTTCAACCCCTCCGGCTCAGCTTTCACAAACTGCATCATATAAAGAAACAATTTTTATCCCTCAACGTACCTACAGCCAATCATTAAATTCTGGATATGATATGGCAGCCCATCAGACAATTGTTGAGAATCCTAATTCTTCCCTTCCTAATGGGTGTGCTCTACTGGGGAATGACAACTCTTCTAGTAATGATAATTTCTGCGAACTTATGATATCAATGCTAATTAACATGATCTCCCGTTTTAGTGACAAGAACTTCCTCTCAGCTTACGCCAAAAACTTACTCAGCTTTCCTCCTTAGCCCGTAACATTTGCAGTCCCACCAATTCTTCAATGGAATTGTCCGAGTTAGAATTAGAAATAAAAAAATGAACTCATTTACCTCATTAATAAACTTAATCCCTTCATTCTTGCCATCCAGGAGACATGGCTTAGGCCTGAGTCTCATTTTAGGGTTTCAGGCTACGCATGCCTCTGAGATTATAGGAGTGATGGTCGTGCTGGCACCTCTATTTTAATTTCAAGAACAGTTACATTTTCACAAATTCCTATAGTCCAGCAGTAAAAGCTGTTGCTATTAAGGCCCTTGATGTCTCTATTCTCTCTGTTTACATTCCTAATCCTGATGTAAATCTTTTAACAGAACTTGCAACTCTTATTTCTTCTCTGTCACCTCCTATGGTTATTTTGGGAGATTTTAATATGCATCATACTGTTTGGGGCTCCCATCTGTGTGATTCACTGGCTCCCTTATTTTTAGATCTTATTGATAATTTTAATCTCTGTATTCTAAATGACGGGTCTTCTACCCGTCGAGTATCCCCATTACAAAATGTTAGAAGTGCCGTTGACCTAATTCTCTGTTCCCCAGATATTGCTTCCCTTCTTTTGTGGCAAATATTACCTTCTAGCTATGGCAGTGACCATTTCCCTATATTCATCACTCCTCCTATTTCCCCTAGAATAAATTTTACATTTTGCCAGAGACTAAAGTATAATCTATCCAAAGCTGATTGGCAATTATATTCTACAGTTTTAGAACAAGAGGTTTCAACTCTTCCCCCAATTAACAATGATAATATTGTTCCTGTAGAGTTCAGAAATGAAATTATTTCTGCTGCTAATAA